AACTTCCTGCTGGCTTCCCCACTGACTTGGTTGTGGGAAGCCGGCAGTACGCTGCCTCAACTAACCACTATGGGATTTGGTTAACAACGGCAACAGGGACTGCAGGGATTGCTGTCACTAAGCAATGCAGTTGTACTTTATGACTGCATTGCTTAGTAATGGAAATTCCACTCCCGATTGCCATCATAAGTCGAGGACTACTTATACCTTTCAGTGTGTGGCAACATAAAAAAGCAACATTCAACATACACGTGTGAGGGAGAGGCATGCAGAGATTTTGGTCTCCTCCTTATGCCTTAGATTAAATATGCATTGTAGGGCATTCTTTTCCAAAGGCCAAGACACCAGATTGGGGAAGACATATGGGATTCCTTTTTCCATCTGGAAAGTATAAAACAAGCCAGTGTAATCTTTTCTTATCTGGTGTAAAATTAGAAGTTAACTAGATGGGGTTCTAGACTCTTTCAATAGGTTATCCTCCATCAGTGTACTCTGGATAATGGGTGCTGATTGCCATCTGCCTAGGATAGATGTTCATTTTTTTTTTTTACATTATAGTTTATGCTAGGAAAAGAAATTACACTGTCTCAGATCTGGAGCCAGGAGCAACCTACCAGCTCTGGATGACTGGATCTACATCAGCTGGAGAAGGTGTGGCCAGTGCTCTGCATCACTTTAGTATATCAGGTAGGATGGTCTGCTGGAAGTTTTGTTCCTTAAACCAAGCTAGTATGTTAACAGGAGATACTGTGGTAACTATAGGAGCAGGAAAGATTGTGATAAAATTGGCTGTGAAATCAATCACTTCAGAGCAAAAGGTGCTCTAAGGATTTTGATCCCCTCTGGCTGTTAATTACAGGTAGTCCTTGACCTACAACCATCCGTTTAGCGACCATTCAAAGTTACGATGGCACTGAACAAATCGTAGTTATGACCGTTCCTCAGAGTTCTGGCTGTCCCAGCACCCCCATGGTCACGTGATCATGATCTGGGCACTTTGCAACCAGTTCACACTTATGACCTGCCACAGCACTCCATGATCACGTGATCGCCATTTACGGGTCTCCCCCACCCATGCACCCTCCCCCAGCCCCTCTGCCCTCACACTGCACTGGCCACTTGTGCATCCCTGTGCACCCTCATGCACTTTCCCCAACTTGCGCCGCACCCCCATGCACCCTCCCTGACCCACACTGCACCCTTGTGCACCCTCCCTGACTCACACTGTGTCCCTGGCGCACACCCTTGCACCTCCTCAACCCATGCCATGCCTCTGGCACACCCCATCCACCCTCCCCAACCCATACTGCACCTCTGGTGCAGCCCCTCTCCCACCCATGCCGCACTCTCATGCATCCTCCCAACCTCCGCCTCCCAGGCACTCCCTTGTGCCCTCGCATACCCTCACCAACGCTTCCTCACACACCCCTTCACTCACTCGCCCACCCAGCAGCAGCCACTTACCTGCCTGCCAGCCTGGGACTGCAACTTCCTGCTGGCTTCCTCACTGACTTTGGCTGTGGGAAGCCGGCAGGAAGTTGCCTTGCCTCACAACCATGGGATTTGATTCATGATGGCAACCGGGACTGCAGGGATTGCTGTCGCTAAGCGATGTGGTTGTACTTTACGACCACATTGCTTAGTGATGGAAATTCTGGTCCCAATTGCCTTTTAATGGATCATTGCCATCTAATGTCAGCAGAAGTTTGAGCACATGCTTTAGAAGTGTACTTTGTCCCAGAACGAAGAGTGCTCAGTATTCCTTGTGGAAGAAAGTAAAAGCAGTCCACACTCTTATGGTATTAGGGTGGCAGGGATTGAGTACAGTCAATGAATGAGAACTTTGAGCTGTTCATCATAGATGTTTTAACATCCTTCTTGTGGATGCTTATGTTTATATTTTTACAGTGGGTGTTTTATAGTTGATGTTTTTCTCTTGGACCGTGGAAGTTGTGAATTTTGGCTTGTAAGCCACCATGAGGTGGAATGGAGTTGGCAGCATATACATTTGATAAAGCCATACGTAAATCTCGATGTTATCCTCAAATCTTTTCCAGTTTTTCATTGGCAGAACATCGTGATGATTTTCTTGCTTCTGGTAATCCTGGTTATAATGGGCTCCGTGGTAGTGCTGTTTAAGTACAGATGGTAAGTAGTGAAAGGCAGAGATGCAGGCGTGGAGTGTGGATGGGCCATCAAAGGTCCTGAACTGGTGCCAAAGTCTAATTTGAACCCTGTGCAAAGCCACCTCTGCTGCCTCTCTTTGGTAGGTTGCTGGGCTTCTGCCGTAAGGTCCTGCCCCGGTGGTGCTGGGAGAAAATTCCAGATCCAAAGTACAGCGGGGTTGCTGTGGAGATGAATGAACAGGGCACTGCAGCTGCTATGGTAAGAAGTAACTGGGTTTTTAAAAAATTGCAGGAGTCAGTGTGCGTTTGCAGGGGGTGCTAAACAGGAAGTACTATATTGTCTTCTACTGAATCTTGTAGATTCATCTGCCTCTCTTAGATGGTCCTAATAAGAACTAAAGCCAGCAGTAGGTTATAGAACGAAAGTTGTTTAAGTAGTCATTGGATGGACATTAAGCCCTGCCCAACTACTTTGTACAT